GAAAGGGCATGGAATTCTTTAAACTAATTTGGTAAAAATACTTTAGTGACTGAGTGCAAACATACCGTCCAAAAAGGGAATGAAAATGCCTAAAGCGTTCTAAAAGCTTAGAGTGTTTTGTTATCACTTTCTAAAATGTCGCCATATACAAGTAATGAGGCGACAGCTATTTCGTGAAATATGCATCGCTAGCAACCTTCTGCGCAGTATCACGCTTTTGCGTTTTCTTTCTAAGCTATACTACCTGCAAGTAAGATTTTATTGAAATGAAAAAAATATAAATGGGTATATGAGTATATAAAACATTTTAACTTCCCCAAGTTAAAATAAAAACAATGTTTTAAACAGCTGACTTCTGCGTTTTCAACGAATAGAAAATTATCAGGCTTTCCAAGCTGGTGCTATTATGGAGTAATCATAATATTATAGTCTGTTATTTTTATAAAAAAAAAAAAACAATAAACTGTTGCGATTAATTATTAAAATAAAATACGAATTAAACCGAAAACTACTACAAATAAACCTATTTATGATTTATTTGATGATGCAACATTAAAATTATTAAACGAAATTTCATAATTAAAAAGGAAATAAATGATTTTTTCCAAATAAAGAGACGAATGAATTTATATACTGTTTAAAACGCCATATAGCGACAGTATTGCTAGCTTTAAAAATAAACACGAAAATTTTTAAAAACAATCACAACAAAAATTTCTCAAAAAGCAACAAAAACGAAATTAAGCTCGTGTTTGTTGTGTTAATAGTATGGATAATTCCTGCTTTCACACCCTTTATAATTTATTTACCTTATCTTCGCATGGTAATGCATTTAAAAAACTATTTAGTTTTTCAATAGTAAAACTTGACTTTTACCAATTACTTTGTTGCAAATACAAAACGTTTTGTAATAGTTACCAGCAAGTAATTTGGAAAGTTTAAAAATTTCTTAAGTTCACTTAAGAAATTAACTACTAGGGATTAGAAAGTATCCATTTAATTAAAAAGTTTTTTAATCGATATTATAAAATGCAGCACCCTCTTTCACTGAATAACCTTATACCATGTTTAAAATTTAATTTTCAAACTAAAAGAGAACTATAATTTGCGAATAACTCGTTTAGGAGACTACTACCGGGTATCCCAAGAGACAACTGTCCATAAGAGAAGGATCCACCTATATATTTTGTAATGAGCTGAAATATCCTGTGTAAAACATTTGAAACTTTTTCAATTTGTATTTATTTTTTTGTTGATAAAATAAAAAAATTATTTTTCCGAATGACTGAAATTCATTCTGTACTACACTATATATGTATTTCAAATAAACCCTAAAAAAATGGGTTTGTAGTTTCAAGTTTCATATCGGGCGCCTTCTTCTAACTGCTAAATCTTTACGAAAAATTGAAAAATTGATTTATTCAAGGTCTTAGAAATGCTTAAAATAATGAATTATCCATGAATTGCCAATTAGCAAAAATCGTTTCATATTTCATTCTTCTTATACTTAAACATACAATACAAATACTTATGTACATATGTATGCTAGTATGTGTGGAATTGTATTTATAAACTTTCTAATAGAATTTTTTGATTTAAATTTAAAAAATACCAGTGTGAAACCTGTAACTGATACGAGAAATCCCACCGAATTCCTTAAAACTGGCAGACAGTAAAAGCTTTGTCTTATTAATTTTAGAAGTGACAACTTCTAGTTTAGTTTTAGCTTGCCTTTTATGTAGATACAACATTTTAGCGTTGTGCATATATTTGAGCTAAAAAAATAAATCTGGCTTATTTGTTCAGAGGATTGTAAACTTGAAACCATATCGGCATAAATATAAGAGTATCGCATTACTGTGAGATATTGACATACATATAAATAATAAGTATGTATGTGTGTATGGAGATTGCGATCATAATTAAATATGAGTTGATATTGTTCTTAAAATTAAATATCAACATAAATAAACCACTATATACGAGTATGTACATACAGCAGAAATAAAATACTTAATAAAGTTACATTTAAAGAAAGTAAAACCGAATAGAGTTCCATGCTTCCTGTACTCCTGCCCAAAGCTCGTCGAAATTTTTAAATTTGCTTTGTCCAATTTTTCTTTTGACATCAGTCCACAAGTTCTCGATCGAGTTTAGATCTGGACGTTGCGCTGGCCAATCGAGAAGCGAAATTTTTTCTAAGCCAGTTTGTTACCACTTTTGCTAGTATGTTTTTTCATAAAGATTCCATTCACTGGCATAACGTCATATGTATATGGCTCCATTATATTCCTTAGTATATGAAGATATACAAATTTATCCATATTCCCTTCTATCTTTACTAGTGGTCCAACTCCATGCCATAAAAACGACCCCCAAACTTTTAAATTTCCTCCATCGTGCTTTACGGTCTTTTTGGTATATCTTGGATTGATATCGGTATATTCCTCTTGCCATTTTATTTCAATTTGTAATAATATTAAATATTAAATACAACTTCACAACAGACAGTAGTTGTTAGTTAGACCATACACACTAATGACCGAAAACTATAACTGCGCTAAATCATTGTCCAATAAATTTATTATTATTATTTGCCAACGCATTTAAAGAGGCGATGAAACAGTATTGATCTATTAACCATAAATTCATGAAAAAATCACTCTCTTACAAGTAACAGTAATATTTCTAATTATCAATGCAAGTGCGCTAAATCTCTGTCCATAGCTGTATATTGTTCATTATTTTTCGTTAAATAAACAATGACATGCACTTTTGTTTATTGATGACTTATAATTTATTTTGGTCTGATATTTATACCAACAAATTCATTTTAATTCAGCACAACTAATGTCCGGTTCACACACAGACTCATTTGACGCCCAAAGCGAGTATTTGGTTGGTGAAGGGACCACACGGAAAGACGAAAGGTCTGTGCCGCTCGTACTTTTTTTTTCTTCCATTCTGACCGATCCAAACATCCCTTTGCCGACTCAAATTGCTGAACACGACATCAAAAGAGAATTTGCCGTGTGTGAACGCAGTTTAAGCACACATCTTTTTTTGTTGTTGTATATATTTATTAATTTTTTATTTTTATTTATTTTTTATTTATATAGTGGAAGAGACACTTAGCTGAGGTGTAATTTCAATCCACTCATCCTTAATAATTTTGTAAAAGGGGGCCTTGTTGATTAGCTTTCGCGCAAGAACTGCGTTTTTTTTTTAGAGGTTTTTAGGCTTGGTCTTTCTCCCAACCACTCAATATAATTATTTTGCTAAAATATCCAATTCAAAGGCAAGTCATCAGATTTGAATAAACGGACGCTTATATGCCAGATATTTTAAATTATTTTTACTAATTTAAATATAATATTAATTGCTTATTGTTCTTTTTTCCGACGTTTGCTAACAGCGTTACATTGAAACTGATACAAAATGATAAACATCGTTGAGCGTTGAAAGTCATTTATTCACCTCCTTTCCTTCATTACACGTTACACGACTGCTTGCCGGCCAATCGGATCAGTAATGATCAATGTGAATGATCAAACATTTATTTGCGGCTTGATGTCGACCCACCGCCGTTGCCGCCTACACTTAAATTATTTATTTTAATAATAAAATATTTCCACAGCAAAAGAATTTTGCTGCTGCCAGTTCTTTTAACTTTTTCTACTTCCTCTCTTTCGCAGCCGCTGACACTGCTGCTATACAGTGCACCGCCCGTCTCCCACCATTTTTACTTACTGCCAAAAACAATTGCCTATATACTCTCAGCTATTTTATATGAACGAAAATAAGATATGTAAATACTCTACAAGCTCTCTTATATACACCGTATGAATAAAGCCTTTTGCCAAGTGACTAGTAAAGCGTTTCGCTATATTTCCGCCACATTTATTGCCGCACAAAAGTTTGTATAATTTGTTTGCTTAGTGCTTTACTTAGTATCGGCGCGTTTTCAGCTCTTGCACGCTCTATTTTTTTCTCATTTTTTTCGTCTAAAATAAAGAACTAAAATAGTTTAACGAACAACTTTAAGGCGTACCCTCCGGAATTCTAAACGTATTACAAACATCAAAATGTCCAAATGTAACTACAATTAAAATAATTTATTTTCGTCCTTGTTGCAGTCATTTATTGTTGTCTTTTCCTGTGTCCATTTTTCGTTAGTGAACTTATATCTATATATATATTTTTTTTTTGTGATTGCTTCTATATGCTAGTGTTTGTCTCAATCCGACTGCCAATTCAATAAAGTGCAAGTGCAATTAGAAGAAACAAATGAATTGCAAAATATATGTTATTTGGGGAAATTATGCGAAAATCTTATTGCATAATTACTCGCATTCTACTTAGGATATTTTTATTCGAAGATTTCATCTGCTGGCTGCTGTTGCTGTGGCCCACAGTGTGCGTGTACCTTATATACATAAATATGAGCATGTGATTTTTTACTCGAGATACAACCAAAATTCGAAACATATGCATGCGTCAATATATATTCATATATCTTCAGCATTCACATACGAACATACAAATGTTTATTTTGGCAACGCTGAGTGTGGCGATTATAATTTTTAGAAACTTTTCATCGAGTTTCTTTAATTATATATTCTTTATTGTTTGTACATACTTATATACATACAAACATATGTAAAGATTTGTATTTTGCTTCGCTCAAAAATTAATGAATTTGTGAAAACAAAATTAAGTAGAGAAACAAACATTTATTTCTGATAATTTCTAAATACATACATATATGAAATAGTTTAAAATCTCTTAAACATTTGAACATAGATATTTAAATACACATATATGTATATCTACAAATATACTTAAACGCTCAGCTGGAAACTAATTGTATGGAAAATTCTTTAAAAAATGTTGCATCGAATTTCAAGTTATTTATTTATCGATTTTTTTTATTTATTAAATTTTCTTATTACAATAAATAGCATTTATAATTTTTCTTTTCATTTTTTTTCTAATTGCAGTGGAATCCCTGATTTACTGGCGAGATGTTAAGAAATCTGGCATTTTCTTCGGTGCTGGTCTTGTCACCCTGCTCGCCATATCATGCTTCTCCGTCATTAGCGTTTTCGCCTACCTGTCATTGCTAACATTAGCTGGTACAGTGGCGTTCAGGATTTACAAATCAGTTATGCAGGCCATACAGAAGACACCCGAGGGACATCCCTTCAAGTAAGTATAAAAAGTTAGAATATTTGATGGAACCAATTATAGATTCTACAATTTGTTCGTTAATATTTCCAAGTTTTTAGGACTTATGTATATATTAAAGGTGGTCCAAATATATAGCATTTCTTATACCGCACGCTTTTTTGTGTATGGATCAGAGCTTGTGTGGAAGTCTAAAGTCTGAGTCTATTGTCAGACACTGTCGATCAACTCTAGTTTCAGGCTTCCTAACTACTACCGCATTTTTAAGCATGTGAATGCCATTTAGGTGGTAATATATCTTCTGCTTAGACTTCTTTAGAGAAGAGAGCATCAACTCCGATAGCAAGGTGGCGATACCGCTTAGCCTCACTCTCAGTGGCTTCAAGCTACTTTATTATAAAACTAATATGAGGTCTGGGCTGAACTGAATTGCAGGAAATTGTAATATTGATGAGCTTGCAAATAATGTAACTTACGTCCACTATAAGCAGAATGTGAACAGCTTGGAGCGGAGCTGTCTTCATTTGAGCTGGGTAAGCGTTGGTTAACTAATAGAACGAGTGCAATAGCTAGGTTCATCTGACCCGAGGTAAATCGCAAGAAGCCAAGTGAGCGCTTCTCCCTCTACCAGTTTCGCCTTTCTCTAAGCCGATGTTGCCTGAAATAAGTTGAGGTAAAATCATCCCTTCACTTACTTCTTGATTGATATCAGATATATTCAAGACGATTTTGTCGATACATGAGATCGAAGTACAAGAGTTTTCTGGTTTCACAAAGAACTTGTCTTTAACTGTTTTTAGTTTGATCACTATCTCGGTTTCAAGGTTGAGCTTTCTTTTTATTAACGGCATTGTTATTGTAGAAATATACAATATTAAACAAATAGTTTTCGGGGAAATATAAATACTGACAGTCTTTACCCTTAATTACTCATACTTGTATATAAATCCCTCGTGTACCAATAACGTGAAAAACGACGACAAGTATGATTAAATCAAGCGAAAGGCATCGGCCTTCAAATCAACTCAGATTGTATTTTGTTGCTAATGCTTTGAATGTAATTCACGGTATGACCTAGTGTTACTTCAAGTAGGGTACAACAACGACTTGTTGATGTTGTTGTTGTCGTTTTTGTGGAAAAAAGCATTATGTCGCCGAGTTCCGAGTCCATTCCAGTTATATTTACCCAACTGGCGTGCAAACGAACTATAATCATTCATCTTTGCTTTTTTGGTTTCCATGCTATAGCTGACAGGACTAAATATAAGTTAAGTTTCTATTAATAAAAAGTCGTGGCCACAATTATATTTACAGAGAATACCTCGACATCGATTTGACTTTGTCGCAAGAGAAAGTTCAAAATATTGCCGGCGTTGCTGTTGCACATGTGAATGGTTTCGTTGCTGAATTGCGACGATTGTTCCTCGTGGAAGATTTGGTTGACTCAATTAAATTCGGTGTTATTCTGTGGGTTTTGACTTACATTGGCGGTTGGTTCAACGGCATGACTTTGGTCATCTTAGGTAACTATGTTATGCACTTGGAGTGCGCCAACTATTTTCATATAGTAATGATTTTCTTTTCCACAAACAGCTTTCGTCTCTCTCTTCACCTTGCCAAAGGTGTACGAAAACAACAAACAATCAATTGACACATACTTGGATTTGGTACGAAGCAAATTGACAGAAATTACAGAGAAGTAAGTCTAAGCCCTTGATAAGTAACACATTTTTACGAATAAATTAATTTCTCTAACTTTACCACAATTTAACAGAATTAAGGCCGCCATTCCAATTGGCAAGAAACCAATTGCTGCTGAATCAGACAAGGACAAGTAAAGCGCATAAATTCACGAAATATTAGCAGCAACAATTTTAATATTGTCAATGCAGTTACTAAAACTTAAGAAGCAACAACTTAAGAACTTTAAATAGATGGCGGCGCATACACATTTTCACACAAAATATACACACAGCAAAACAACAAAAAAGAACTCATTATGAAAATTCTACAAACAAGCAGAGAGGATGTGTGAACGCCGACAAAGTAGAGAATAATTAAAATTAATGCATTCACAGTCTATAACAAGAATAACAAAATATGATTAAATTAAAATAAACACACACAAATAATAATGAAAAACGAAAATCTTAAAGCAGAAAACGATAAAAATTCACATTTCAGTTGATAAAGAAAAACAAATCAAAAAACCCAAAATATATATATACTACAAATATCATAAATTGTATGCATAGAAAAAGAGCAAACGAGAAGCTTTGTTCTACATTTTCAATGGGAAATTATTCGTTTAATTGTATTGAATTACATTGATTACAATGCGTAAAATTTCGTTATTATTTGCTACCGATTTATAATTATATATTATATAATAACTGCTACACAATTGTAACAAGCTACAACAACAATATATTCGGAAACAACTTGTTATATTCTCAAAAGGTTTTTTTTTTTATAATAATGCTTATATTTTTTGATTGTATGTAAATCGATTTTAAAATGATATATTTTATATAAACTGTTAAATGCACGAAAAACAAAACAACAACAAATATTGATCAACAATGTCTATTAATTTAACAATTATATTTACGAACTGTTTTCGTTTAAACGTAGTTATAGAGGAGAAAGGGTATTTATATTTCTCATTCCCTTTGTTACAAGTTAAGATTTAGTCGAACAAGAAAGGCAAAACAATAAAATGTGAGCGAAATTCTGCTAGTGTGAAATATAAACAGCGGACACGATTGTTTGCTATTTTAGACCTATGAACAAAACATTAACTAGAAAAAGATTAGCAAACACTTGCTTCTTGATTATGTTGTTATATTACGATTAAAATAACAAAAATAACAACTTAGAATTTAACGACTTCAAATGAGTATAAAATAAACAAAAAATATTTCGAATGTCCAAGTGTTATTTCGTTTATTTCTGCAATTTTTTGGTTAAACAACGGTAAATCGTTTACATGTAATATTCATAGTAAAGTATTAAACACGCACTCATACAGCATGTATCAAAAGGCAAGCGCATATGAAAAATCAATTTCTAAAAATAAATTTAAAAAGAAAATTACAACAACAAAAAAATTAATAATATAATATGTGAACGCTTTGCGTCCGTCAGTCATCAACACTTAATATTAAATGGTTAATCACATTGAACAAAAAACAAAGAGAAGAAGAAAAATAAAAAGAAAAACAAAACTAATGCGTGTTTTCTTTGAAATTATTAAAAATACTTATAATGCATAGTACTCAAATATAAAATTAGTAGATATGTATTTTGCCTTTTAAATATAAATGTGTGAACACACTTGTATAGTGTAATGCCTTTTTTAATGAGAATTATTTGTTTAATAAACATATTTGTATTGCTGACCAAAATTAGTATTTCGCAAAACCAATATTACTATGTAGACAGTGGTACGTTTCTATATGACCGCTTTTCAACAATTATATATAAATACCTAAATGCATAGTTACATACTGTCTGCGGATCGACTTGATTTAAAAGAAGCGCAGATTTTACTAATTTGTTGCAATTGTCTTGTTTTGCATATGTAAAATTTTTAAATAAAATTCATACTTTAAAATAATTTACGAATTCTATTTATGTTTCATTGATTTACGTTGGGAATAAGTCCGTTGGCTTTATATATGCGAACTAGTCCCTCAATTTTTGAGATATCGCTATACAATTTTGCATACGTCCTTTTCTCTCTAAAAAGCTGTTCATTTGTAGGAACCGCCGATATCGGACCACTATAGCATATGCTGCCATACAAAACTTGTTTATTTGTGAAGGGTATTATAGCTTTGGTGTAAACGAAATTAACGCTTTTTTTTCTTGTTTATTTTATCAGAGTTTATGGACCTAAATACATCAATCGCAAGATATTCGTCTGAAACGCCCGGAATTATAGGCGAACAATTTATGGTTCCGTCATCACGATAGTGCACCATGTCATACTGCATTGGTACTTTGCGACTTTTTGTCAAAAGCTTGATTCATATCGTTCCGAAACTACCCTATTCGCCTGATTTGGCTCTATGTGATTTCTGGCTATTCAACAAACTCAAAAGTCCTATGAAGGGACAACTGTTTGTCACGACTAAGGAGATAAAAACCGAATAGAAAAAGGTATTGACGGTTATACTGAATGTGCACTGAAAGAGGCGTTGGCAAAAGTGCGTTTTACTTTGAAGGGGATGAACTCGATTTGAAAGAATAAAAAAAAAAATTAAAAATCAATGTTGACCTCATGTAAAACTATCGGCCAGTCTAAGTTAATTGGAATGGGTGCTATTCATGATATCACTTATCACACCATTCTAACCTTCGCCAAACTAAGATGAAATGGTATCTGCGTAGCGCTCAATAAACTGCAGACATTTGTATATACATACATCCATCAGCACATAAGGGATCCATTAACTCACGAAGTTCAGCACTCTTGATCATCGCCATCGCCAGTGCAGAAATGGTGCGCTACCAATATCTTAAATCCTGCGGACCCTCCTATTAATCCATCCTCCTGCCCTCTTCTAATCTGGCTGGGCCAGTAGGTAGGTGGACTATTGGTCTACGTTTAGTGATTGTATTTTTATACCCTGAACAGGGTATAATAATTTTGCCATAACATTCGTAATACCCAGGAGAAACGCCGGAGACGCTATAAAATACATAAACTGCTTGTATATAAATGATCTGTAGGTCTGTCCGGCTGTTTGTATATACACGAACTATTTCTTCTGTTTTGAAAATATCGAACTGAAATTGTGCTTACATCCTTTTCTCCTTAAGAAGCTGCTCATATACATAGCTGCCATGCAAACTGAATGATCGGAATCAAGTGCGTATATGGAAAACTTTTTCATTTGACGAGGTATCTTTAAGAAATTTGGTAGAGACTAATATCATTTGCTACAATCTCCAAAGAAATTGTTGATATCAGACTATATAGCATATAACTGCCATACAGCTGACCGATCAAACTCAAGTCCTTGTATGGAAACTCTTTTATTTGTCAAGGTATCTTCACAAAATTTGGTGTAGATTATTATCCGACGCCTTGCAACAATTTCCGAACATATTGTTCAGATTGGATTACTCTAGTTTAAAGCTGCCATTCAAATTTACCAATCGAAATCAGAATAAATATCTTTTTATGCTATAAAAAATGCACCTATATATACTATTATAGCTTCGGTGAAGCCGAACTTAACGTTTATTTTTGTTTTATCATAAGGATACCAAGATATTTGAGAACATTTTCAGTACGAATGAACCATTGTGAACACGTTATCGCTGTAAGGATTTTTGACTGAAACCTCTGTATTATAACAATGTTTGATGCAGAGTTCATACCCCACAGTAGAATATCATACATCCAAATCAGCTTTCAACAGAAATTTCTTGATAAAGCTATGTTCAGAAATTTTATATAAAAGCCAGTTTAAATTTCTTGCAGTTATTTTCATACTAGTTAATTTGCTTGATATGTGTGCTCCATGTTAGCCTGCTGTCCAAGTGGATGCCATACTCAGATGTTATTCATTTCAACCTAATGACACATGTTTGGTCTTAGTAAATATATTTATTCGGATAGCCATTCTTGGACAAAAGCTAAATACTCCTCTTGTACTTCTGATGCTCTGATCGGGCATTTATTAAGGCAGGGTCATTCGCAGAAGTGGATGTTAATACATTATTACCAGTTAGAATTACCGCTTTATATAAGAGAAATGGAGTTGGGCCTAGCACACTCCCCCGAGGTACAGCAGCCCTTATGGATCGTTCATCTTATATAAAAATAGTTACTTTAACAGTAAATTCCTTTTTTTTTTGTTAAATAGGACTCCGATGTGTTCTACAATTTAAAAGAGAATACTGTTTTAATTTTATATAAACGTCCTTAATGCCACACCTTATCGAATGCCTTAGCTACAACAAGGAATATTGCTGAACAGTACGCTCTGTGCTCGAATGCCTTTCTGATTTCGTTAGTAATTATATTTACTTGCTTAGACTTGCTCTACAGGGCAATGTTCAGCTCGAAGCTAGAATTGGCGCGTTGGAATTATATTATTTTCATTGAGGAAAGGAAACATCTTTGACATATTGGTCTGTAAAGAGACGAATTGAAAATTAAAAAGCAAGGGGAGCATTGCTACGGCAGTACTAAGTGCCTCCATTAGCATTTTTGGAGTAATTTTATAGTGCTATGATGACTTTTTTGGATTCTTCTCTTTTATGATATTTTTAATTTTAAAAGTTGCAGTCTTGATAGACGACTTGTTAGCGGTGTTAAGCAGCTCATAGTCGTTTTTTGAACAATTAGGCTGAAATATAATCTTTGCAAACCGCATAATTACTTGTATAACTTTCAATCTTACATTTTTTAGCAGCTTACAAGACCTTTTTAGAATAATACAATATGTTGATACAGTTTTATTTTAATCTTCTTTTTTATCACAATAAACTAATAAAATTCAAATTTCCCTCCAAATTTTTTTAACATATTCAAAATTATTCAAAACTTGGTTTTGGGGTGGTATATTTTATTGTCTGGTACCATAATAAAACAGCCAATCCTTACCAATTTGCGGCCTATGCTTTGGGTATTTGTTTTTTAGTTGGAGGATTTAACTGAAACCGATATCCAAATTATCCACTAAAGGTATCAATTTATGTTCACAAGAGCTTTACAAACAATTTCGCTGCTTCCATTGTACTTTAGGGTTGGTACTAAATTCTTCGGTGCCAGCTCGGGCGTAGGTTCGATTTAAACTTTCATCTTCCATCGCCACCAAAAATGTTGAGCATCAGCTCAAGTGGAAATTAAACCTTGTTTACAAAAATACATCCCCTTATTATTATACTCTTGTAACATGTTGCTACAGAGTATAATAGTTTTGTTCACCTAACGGATGTTTGTATCACCTAAAACTAATTGAGATATATATATGGTTATATATATTTGTATATAAATGATAAGGATGACAAGACGAGTTGAAATCCGATCTGTCTATCTGTCAGTCCGTCCGTGTAAGCTGTAACTTGAGTAAAACTTGGTACACATGTTCCCTGGTACCATAAGAATATTGGTATTGTAGATGGGCGATCGAACTACTACCATGCCCACAAAACGCAATTAATCGAAAAATTATAAAACGTCATAACTAAGTCATAATATATATCTCCGGAACTAATTGATCAATTTCAATAAAATTTGGTACGTAAAATTATTTTTGCAATCCTATTTCACAGTGAGAAAATTATCGAAATCGGACCACAACCACGCCTACTTTCTATTTATTCTATTCAAGCACCAAAGAATATATTAGGACAAGACTTTGCACAAATAGGGCTTTTGAGGTATACCATCTCAAGTCTAAAAATTGTTAAAATCGGACCATAAATGTTCAAATATGAATTCAATCGGGTCAATACTTTCTTTAGCCCCATATACCTTATCAAAATATTTTCGAAATTACGGTTTTCTTAAAAAAAAATTAAGTAGATGTATTTTCCTTATAATGCTTCATGTTTGAGCCTAAAATGAGTAAAATGAGGTGGGAACTTGCCGTAGCCCTCATATAACAAATCACAGACTTTTCAAACATCCGATTGATGTTGGTGATGGTATGTGAGGTACTTTATTGATACTCATGGAGTATTTTATTGTGTTAATAGTATGTTGTATTGCCAAAAATAGAAAAATAGGGTAAATATTATCCCAATCTCTCATATACCTAACATAAAATTTTTAAACTTCCGGTTGGCCTTATTATATAATATATCAGTTAGGTATCTTAGCAAAATTAAATTAAAATTAATAATATTGGATATACTATAGCTTAACTTATATACAGCATTTGAAGAAGATTTAAATACAATTTTAACTGACGCGAAGTAAAATATAGTAATAAAACTAAGTGAGTCTATGACCTATAATATGACTTAATAATATAAAAATTTAATTGCAAGGACGATTTCGTTGAATAATGAATGTTGAAATGTTTCGCAACACTTTTATACTCTCGCAGCATGTTGCTACAGAATATATTAGTTATTTGGTATACTGGTTCACATTACGGAGGGTCATCTGCAATTAAAATTTTTTTTTTAAAGTGGGTGTGGTCCCGCCCCCTAATAGGTTTAATATGCATAACTCCTAAACCGCTTAAGCTATTATAACAAATTCACATTCTATTTCACATGGAACGGTAAAGACAGTCAGGAATTGGTAGAATGCAGCGTAGGGGTGCAATAAGGGGTTGAACTGAAATGTACTTCCCACAAAGTTGACAACAAACCGTTGTATTGCATGCGAGTGCCATCTATCGACGAACTAAAACAAGCTGCATAGCAGCTGTTTTTTGACATTTGGAGTACAGCAATGCTCCAATCTTGCCAATAGGGAGCGCGCTCTGTATTTAACAAACGAAACATCTTCAACATCTTCAACTTAGCTATGGCCCAAAATACAGCAAACTATAACTAGAAAACCAAATAACTTATGTTATAACATGTTAGTAGTTGAAAATGCTTTTACTTTTCATGGAAAAATGCCTTATCCAAACCATGAGTCCGGAGCACTTGTTCTGTGCTCTTACTGAGAAGTCAACAGCCTACAGCGTAAATACATATGTATCTATGTATGTATGTGCCTATGTACTATATATGTTTACAAATTTTTGCTGCTTGCTGCGCGTCAAACTGTATACGCATGTATGACCTTCGGACAAGGTGACCGATGAAATTTTGGGTTTGAAGAGAGTTTGACAACTGCATTCCACAATGAAGTTGAATTCAGCACGGTCGTAGGAATCACAAACATTAACTGCCCGGTTTAATAGGTTATCAATAGTTGTACTGACTTTGATGGTGACTTATGTGCTAGTTTTTCGTAATTAACAACCACATTCCGTGAACAGTTTTCTCAGTTTTAATCGGTTATCAGTTGACGAACTTTAGTAATTGAGTGGTAAGAGATTGAAAGCAAGAGTACGACACACTGTCTGTTAATTAGGGGAGTACATATAAGAGAGTGAATGTGTTAGAGCAGAGTGCAGCGGCAAGGAAAATAAGCTAAATTTTGAGGGCGAGCGTGTTGTCGCCAAAGAAAAAGATTTTACGCTGAGAAGTACTCCAGAGCTCGTAGCAAACGGTTGTTGTTCGTTGTCATCTGTGGTCGTCCGACAAAAAAATATTTAAACGTCATTGCCTTTAAACTACTGCGGTGCGGTACGGTGTGCTGCTGATCTAGGATCAGTTTTTTTCGGTTAAGTAACAAGTATTTGCAAAAGTAAAAAGGAAACTTAAGTGCTTTCTACAATTGCCGTAAAAGTTGAATAACAAATATTCAGTATTGAAAGTTAATCAGTTAGAAGTGCCGTTGAAAAGAGAAAGCAATTGCGATTTTGCAATCATGTCGAGGCCACCAACAGATGAGGAGCGCCGCAAGCAAATTAGTGTGCGCGGCATTGCCGAGGTTGGAAACGTAACTTTGGTTAAGAAGAATTTCAATCGTCATCTGCATTACACGTTAGTAAAGGATCGTAATGTGGCAACTATGCGCGACTACTACTTTGCCCTGGCCAACACTGTGCGCGATAACATGGTTGGCAGGTGGATCCGCACCCAGCAGATGTACTATGAAAAGGACCCTAAAGTAAGTTTGTTTAGCATAGCAATTCCAAACACATACATAAGTAAGAATACTACAATATATAGAAGAAACTTGTAAATGGCAAATTAGGTATGTATGTATGTAGGTCACGCCACATCCATTTAAAGTGCTGCCTCACAGCATCCATTAGTCCAGCCAGTAGAGCTGAACGGTTCCAATTATGTGTGGTGTCCTATTGCGGGTATCTACCCAACTGGCTGCGCTGGCATTTATAAAGGTTAATTGTAGGGGGAACGAAATATTAGATGTAGATGTGGTTGCCTGCCATGTTGCCGTAGTGCTATTATTCTACCTCATGTAGAAGTTTATGTGTTGTTATTAGTGTAACTATATTCAAATATACATATTTATATTACAGACGAAGATATATATTTAAGAAGTGTATGTGTATTGTTTTGTTAAGTTAATAAAAATTAAAAATTGGTAGATAAAAAGTAATAGGTATACCACATGCATACCACTGATTCAGTTTGTGTACTTTATATAATACTTACCACAAAAACAAAATCTACATTTATATATATATTTACTCGTATATATGCACATACTGACATTCAGTTACACGCACGTGTAGTTCTCGATTTTTATTAGCACTTTATTATGGATAGAGATACATGGCAAAACAACACATCTTGTAGGACCGTGTTACCTTAACATCATATCAGTTACCACGTAAACCTTATTTGTTAGTTTCCGTGTTCACCACATACATATGTATGTATGTATGTATGTATATGAGTGTCAGTGTATGAATATGTATGTTTGTATGCATGTTCGTATCCCTTAAAACTTGTGTATTCGTCAAGGTCAAGGAAATGTATCAAAGGAAGTTCAGTAATTTGAAAAAAGAATCCTCCTGTTTTATAAATTATAAATTAAAACAGCTGAGATAAAAATAAAAATAAAAACGAAATGTATTTGAAAAAATCTGAAATAATAAATGAAACTTAATTTTTAAATAAAATATGTTATAATAAATAAATAAAAATACTATAAAAATAAAAAATAGTTTTTAAAGAAAAAATAGTGTTAAAAATTAATATTATTCTTTTTAATTTTATTTATTTATTTTTTTTTGCACGAAGGAAAATGTAGTTGAAACAAATTGTGAAAAAATAAGAATTAGTCTCTTAAGCCTGTTTGTGTTTTCTAGAATGCCTAACTATTATTGTTAGCTAAAAACCGTTTTATGACTGGTTGACATACGATATTTGCCATTCAGTTAATTTAAGGTTTTCTACTTAGAAAATGAATTTAAAGAATGTTAACTTTGTTTTTATATACAACAAACTTTTCAAATTCAAAATATGTTTAACATTTTATTTCCCCACAAAGGCACAATCCTGATGCTGTAATACTTTTTCATTTCTTTTACTTTTTCGTTTTTATTTTAAATTAACCTCAAATCAGCGCAGCGCAAAATAAAATTCATTGCTAATTACAAGCTTTTGTTTTTCTTAAAAAGCTTTTTTTCTCTTTTCTGCATCTACTCTTTGTTTACATAAGAAAATAAAACTAATAACGAAGAAAGCGGTTCAACAAGTTTATTAGAGAACTGTGTGTGAAGACAGTGGATAAAGAGTGGAAAATCTGAATGCAATAACCAAAAATATTTGCATATAAATAGGTATGTAAAATGTATCGCACATAATGCAAAATTGTCAATGTGCATGTGCAGTCGGCTTTTTGCCAAAACGTAAAAGACGGATAAGTAAGATAATTGCAAATAAATTTATTACACGCTATCACCTCGCTGCCGATTTGTAGGGGGTTCATGCTTTTACTTCGCAATAAAACAAATTATTTGAAATAATGTATATTTCACTGTTGGTGTTTAATATATTTTATATTAAAGTCTAGTTGAAAAGGTCAAATTTTATATGAGATTCATACGAGTCCATAAAATTGATGTTATAAAAACAGGACTTATTGCAATTTGCAAAAATTCTGATGTCGAATTTTATGATAATCCTTTCCATTTTAGTAATGTTATTGTTTGTCTCGGTTGACCCACACACTCTGCGCATTCTAGACCCGCGACTACCGCAATTGCCAATATTTTTACAGGCACTCTTATATTACCTGAAAGTAAAAATTTTAACCAAAATAAAATTACTTAATTATTGATAACATATTGAAATCATATTGTAAATATACGAGTATGTGTGGGTATATACAAAATTAAGTACTTTCAGCCAGAGTTGCAAATACATAGTTAATTATAAAAATTAATTGTTTTAGAATTTAAATTTTTTCTCGTTTGGACACTTCGTATTCAACTATTTTGGTTATCTTTTTATAAGAAAACAAATTTTTATTAAATTTCTACGTAGTATAGCTCTTTTCATCATATTTATATTTAATTGCTCTTGACTATAGTGTTTTAGTTCGAAATATGTAAATCTTCCCTTTTTATCCCAGCTTTTAATTTGGAAAATAGGTTTTTTATTCGTTACTCAAACGATAGTAATTTAATTTTAAATATAATTTTAAGTTTTTAGATCAAAATCAGAATTGAAAATTTAGTTTTTAATCCCATACATACTTATGTAGGATACTTACTACTCTTTTAGATTTACGTACATACAAATTATAGACTGTGCCAAAAATATTTGCATATGTGCTCATATATGCACATATGTATATTTACCTATTGTATATAACTTTATTGTACTTGTGTATATATGCATATTATTAATAGGGACTTATCTACTCTTTAAGGTATTTTCTCTTTACTTAATTTTCTGGTGAAAATAAGTAAATACACACAAATCTCTACAATGTAGAATCTACATATGTACAAATATATTATATTTATGTTGAACTCTGCGGCCTATGTGCGCTACGTTTTCTAGGTTCGTTGAGTTCCTAACCAGACATGCTTCGATTCTGTACGGTGCATTGTTCGATTGGAAATGTAAACAAACATGTATTGGCAACAAAAAATTGTCTTGTGCGTTTAATTTTGCGAACTATTATACAATACCCATCTAATATTCGACATACATACATATGTACTAACTCGTAGGGTTTACCGGTGCTCCTGGGAAGAAACACCGTTATTCTGTGAGGAGAACTGGGCCTTCACATCCTTCTAGCTTTATAGCGATCTCCGCTAATCAGGTGGGCATTCCGAGCAGCTAAGCCTACTTGGAGGGTTGTTGTGGGGGCCGCGTCACATGTAACAGCCGCAGTAGACGCCGCCTTCTGAGTGCCACTGTATGACGGCATATCGTTATCGTCTCGCGCATGCTCCGCAAACAGTGCGCGCTTCTCTGGCGAAAAAGCGTCCAAGAAACTAAACTTACGTTTAACTCCTGGGCAAGCCTTACCTGCACTGGAAGTGTGGCAGTCTGTTTGCTGTCCTTTTGGTTGGTGTTGTTGTGGTTTTTGTGTACTCACTTTGTTTTTTGCAACCTTCGGCTTAACAAGGTGAGCTTTCAGGTTTCGTCTTTATATAGGGGAACACAAAGGCCTCATGACGCGGTAAGGCCACCGTTACTTCCCAAGGCGGCCCAGTGTTAAGGAGCCTGCCAATAGCAGAGATGTTTCATTCTCTTCAAAATTTAATTCATTAAAATAAATTTGTTGCGGAAGAAACAACAAATCTTTATTATTGAAGTTTATACACAAGAGCATATGTCAATATATGGTATATACATATCTCATTAAAGGCTGTAAAGTCCTTTCCAAAGTTTGAAAAGTTTCTTATATTTGCAGCCAGGAATCAATTATTAACGCTTATGTACAATAAAATTAGGAATACAAATTTTTGAATTTGATCGGAGCAGCTCTTCCTTGATCTTGTTTAATTTTCATTCAAAATGTTGGTGAACATGAGGTTTAGGTAAAATAATATCTAGTGCTCCAATGTGAGTATTTGTTTCGTAAATATAAATATTAGAATAATGTGAAAATATGCAATATATCGAACTTTTTGAATTTATTTATCATTTTTTATTAATGCTTTAGAAAACATATTTCATTATACTTCATTTTCAATCATTAAAATACGATATTTTGTTATCCTTTAATCGTGACCTTTATTTGGTCTTAATTCACAATTTTCAATTTGACTTACATTCGCCTATGTCTTTATCAAGTACTCGTCAAATATACATACCTACACAAATACATACATGCATACGAGTATTTATCTACAATTTCATTATAAGCCAGCATGTGATTCACGAACTACGAAAAAGGCAAAAATTGGTTTGTTCAATGTTTTTAGAAAGCGAAAGTTTTATCCAATACTATATTATGTATGTATACCCCGATACAATTCGGCTATGTAGCTATAAATGCATCATATGCTCGTAAAAACTATATGTGGGCACCTCACCCTCACAGTCCACTAATTAGAAACGATGTGCAGCGACATTAATAAGTGGGCTTAAATCATAAAGACAGTATCAATAGAATAGGAAAAACAATGTAATGGAATGCTCAGGAATGTACCATATAATGAATTTATATAAAACTTACGTGTCACGTTGTTTGTCCGGCGTAAACTCCGAACCGATTTTAGTAAAATGTAGCACACAACGTTTGTTTGATCTAAATTAAGAGATCAAATAGTTTATATTTCAATAACGTTAAAAGTTAAAAAAATTCATAAATAAAAATGTTTAACTGATTTTGGGCTCGCAAACACCCTTATAGACTATATCTCATTGAATATTATGTTTTTTAAGTAAAAACAAAAAATTCTCAAAATATGCAAGTTGGTGACTTAAGCCGGTATAAGAAATTAGCTCAAAAAAGAACAAATAAATGTTTTTTTGATATAAACATAATCTACATAAAAGATAATATAAATATAACCAGTAAGTTATAATTTCCCAAAAATTTAATTAATTAAAATTTAATTGGTCCCAATATAAAATATTTTGTAATTTCTTTATTTTCTACAACCCACCATGTCTAATTATATGGTAACTGCTGTATAGTTCCAATAGAAACAAATATTTAGGTTGTTT